TGAGAGAGGTTTTCCTAATATCTAACCTAAACTTCCCTTGCTGCAACTTGAGACAAGTGCTCCTTGTCCTGTTATCTGCTACTGTTATCCGCAGATCATTGGATCTATGCTCCCAGCCATATGGCATAGTGGAGTCAAGGGCAGCTGATCCTTGAGCTTGAGAGCAGCAGTCACCTGATCAGGGCTCCCAACCTTGGGAGCACGTGGGAGCCCTCAGCCTGGCTACACGTGCAATCTAAGGTGTAGCGGAAACCAGCAATAACATCATTTCACAAAAATGACACAAATTTATTTTGTGTAATAACTTTGGCTTCTTTCTTGTTTTATCATGTCATTAATTGCATTAATGTGTGGCTGGGTTACTGCTTAAGACATGATTAACTGGTTAATCGTGTCCTAAGCATAACATCTGCCAGGGGCCTGAGGCTGTCCTGTAAATCTTATTAGCTGCATACATTCTCTCTGCCATTTTTAGTTTGATAGTGATTCTATAAGCCTGCCTGCCATTGCTGATTGTTTTCAGACTGATAATTTGGCCTTTGATTATAGATAGTTCAGCCTCAGTTGGATAGGTTACAGTGAAACAATTATGTTGCAGAGAAATAATGTAAAAAAGTCAAGTTATATTTGCATATTCTAAGTCATGATCTTGGGGTTTGTAGGGTGTCATGTACGTTTTCTTGAGTTGCTGGGTATGATGTCTAGTCTCTATGTATAGGTAATTTCAAGCTGTATGTAATCTTATTATCCTTATGCTTTTATGCTTTGTAGTATTTGATATAAATGTAATTTTGACATATCTTTATATTGGAACTGAGGCTGTTTTAGTGAGGTAGTGATTTACTTTACTGGCCCTCATCTATTCATAGTGCTTTTCAAAGTAATGGTATTTGACTTGTGTTGTGCACTGACTCCCTTGAATTTATATTTTAAAGTTTGGTACTTAGCTAGTCAAACTACTGGGGAGAGAGAGGGTATACTTAATTAGCAAATCTCCATGTGATTGGAGTAACAGAGACTTGATGGGATAGCTCACATGACTGGAGCACTGTCATGGATTATTTAAGAAGTACAGACAGGGAAGAGGAGGAGGAGTTGCACTTTATATAAAAGAGCCATATGATTGCTCAGAGCCCCAGTATGAAAATAGAGATAGGCCTGTTGAGAGTCTCTGGGTTAGGGTCAGAGGGGAGAGCAACAAAGGTGGGGGTCTGCTATAGACCACCAAACGAGGAGGATGAGGTGGCTGAGGCTTTCTTCAAACAGCTAGTGGAAGTTTCCCATTCACAGGCCCTGGCTCTCATGGGGGACTTAAATCACCCAGACATCTGCTGGGAGGGCAATACAGCAGTGCACAGGCAATCTAGGAAGCTTTGGGAGAGTACTGGGGACAACTTCCTGGTGCAAGTACTTGGAGCAGCCACCTAGGGGCCGTGCTCTTTTTGATCTGTTGCTCACAAACAGGGATGAATTGGTGGGGAATGTAGTAATGGATGACAACTTGGGTAGCTGCGACCACGAGATAGAATGATAGAAAATTAAGTTTGGAAGGGATCTCAGCAGGTCATCTAGTCCAAACCCCTGCTCAAAGCACATGATTAAAACGTTTGGGTTGTGGGCCCCCTTGAGTGTGTATAACAGGGAGCCTTCCCGGGGCCGATTAGGAGTTGGCCTGCTCACCTGTTTTTGGGCTAACTGCTCGCCTCTCTCTCCTGCCACACCTTGTTTAATAATTGGTGTCTTAATTAGGTGGGAGGCTGCCCTTTGGTGGCCCTGTTCTCCTGGGCCTATATATGCAACTCCAGCCACCCCTGTACTGCATCCCAAGCCTCGCAGTTGACACACACACGATATTCCCTCACACCATGACTAGTGCTCCCGGGTCTCACAGGAACTCTTGACTCCCTCCCTGGAGCAGCAGGTCATTGTGCTCACCCTTTAGGTCTTTCTTTCAATCCACACTTGGCCTTCTTGTGGTGGAGGACTTACCAGGGTCAGGACTTGTCTCTAACTCTCTGGCTGAGCCCCCTCACTCAACCTCTTGCCCAAACTATGGCCTCAGGCATCCATGAACATATCTTGGCCTCTTCCCCACACAATGGGGTTCCTACTATGTCCATTCTAGGGCCTTTATACCACGCCCCACCCTGGGTTTTTCTCATCATCTCCACAATCAACTACTCATGGGGCTGGCCCTTGCACTGCCTTTCAGGCTTACTTCCAGTTCGGCCCTACTTGGCCCCTCTCACACAGCCCTTCAGGCCTACTCCCATTCAACCCTACTTTGTGCAGGGCCACCTACATCCCTGCCCTCTCTTCTCTGGGGCCACACAGCTATCCCCGACCAGGGGCCTCCGGGGTCTTCCTTCCCTGTGGGCTCAGGTGGCCACTGCTGTGCCTGGCCCCACTCCTCTACTGGGGTCTTCCACCCCCTAGGGGTCTGGTGGCTGTTACCATGCCTGGCACTCGTACCCATCGAATTATGGGGGCTAGGGGTTAAGGCCCCTCCATCCGCCTTTCACCGGCATGGTAACTGGCCTGGCATTTCCTGGGGGCTCCCACACTACCAGGAGCCCCCAGACCACACTTCCATGGCAGGGTGCAGCTTTAGGTCATGCCCAGGACCAAGAGCCTCCTGCTCTTACCTTCTGATGTTTCTGCCTGGGCTGGCAGCAGCAAACTGCAGCCTTTATATACCTGGCTCTCAAAATGACTGCCGCCATCAGGCATCTGCTGGCTGCCTGGCTCTGCCCTTAAAGTGACAGGCACCTAAAGGTGCACTGCCACAGGGTGGTGAGGCATGGTCCTAGATTTCTTCATTCCGGCCACAGTCGGTACTTCTCACAACAACCAGCTTTCGAAATCTCGACCTTGATCAGGGTGGTTTCTTGCCAGTAGGCCAAACACAGAAGTATTTCTCCCACAGTACCCTGGCAACCATTTGCCCCCTCTGATCTTGCATAGGGAGGGCTTGGGCATACCATGTGAAGTGGGCTGTCACAAACAGCTCATTTCCTTTCTGGTGTCCTTCTCCTTCTATGGATAAGAAATGTATCACATGAGCTTCATGCATTTGGAACTCTGAAAGGTGTATGTAGATAGGTGGTTTGAGTGGGCAGGGTTTTCCTCGGTACACACCTGTTGCAATTCAGGCATTTGGCCTTTGGCCAAAAAAACTGCTCATGTGCCAAGGCCAACATGCAATCCAGCCCATGTGCCCACAGTCATCATGCAGCGCCTGTACTTCCGAGGAAGGACCAGTTGCCAATATTTTCGTCCTTTGTGGTCCTGCACTTCCTAATGTAGTACCCCATCAAACAAATGAAGCCTCTCTCACTCCCGCAGTAAGAGGTGGGCTGCCGGAGTAGCATTATTAACTGTTGAGGGGCGATTAGTTCCCTGCCACGGGGTGCGCAGCACATCCGGATCCCGTTCAGGCGCTGTCCACGACTCAGCGGCTGTGACCTGTGATGGAGTGGATGGAGTCAACGTGGTGTACTGGACGCAGGACTGCGGGATGATAGAGTTCAAGATTCATAGATCCATAGATGTTAGGGGCTGGAAGGGACTTCACAAGATCATTAGGTCTAGCCCCCCTGCACTTGGGCTGGAGAGACTGCTGGGCTCAGATGACCCCAGCAAGGTGTGTGTCAAGTTGTTTTTTAAAGATCTCCAGGGTAGGTGATTGTAACACCTCTGGGGGGAGTCTGTTCCAGACCCTGGGCACTTGGATCATAAAGTAATTTCTCCTTATGTCCAGTCTGAGGTGATCGTCAAGGAGTTTGTGCCCATTGTTTATAGTCTTCCCCTGGTGTGCCTTGGTGAACAGATGCTCCCTCAGGCCCTGGTGTATGCCCCTTATATACTTATAGGCTGCCACCAATTCCCTTCTGTCTTCTTTTCTCCAGGCTGAACAGTCCCATGTCTCTCAGCCTCTCCTCATATGACAGGCTCTCCAGACCTCTAATTATGTGTGTGGCCCTTCTTTGGGCTCTCTCAAAGTTCTCTACATCTTTCCTGAAGTGTGGCGCCCAGAACTGGACGCAGTACTCCAGCTGTGGTCTCCCCAAGGCCGAGTAGAGTGGGAGGATGACATCCTTTGTTTTGTTTGAGATACATCGGTAGATGCATGCCAGCATTTTATTTGCTCTGCCAGCTACAGCTTTGGTCGATTTGTGAGGAAATTTTAGAAGTCAGATTTTGAAATGTTGCATTCAAATTTTAATATGAAAACTGTAATATAAAGTAAAACTTTTAATTTGTGCATAATTTATCACTCTCTAACTGAACTTGGATTCAGAAACCAGGTAGCTAATAAGCACATGACAGTGAAGATCAAGATATAGCAATATGTGGTCATCTTAGGCTTTGTTTTAATTATTTAAAATGAAAAAAGTTTGGCTGTGTACATTTCAGTTTACACTTATAACAATGAGCAAACGATTATTTTCCCAGTGTGTCTTATCGATAACTGTGTACTCTTTACAAATGCATTTACATGTATTTTTTTCCAGGCAAAACTAGAGATTAAATATCTACAGCACTGAAAAACATTAACAAAAGTAATTGTGCGGTACTGCTTTCACATAAAACCACAGTTGTTTTCTAATTCTATTTTTCAGTTTCCATAGCTAGACGTGTACAAGACCCATTAGCTGAGCTAGTGAAAATTGAGCCCAAACACATTGGAGTTGGAATGTATCAGGTAAGGTAATGTAGATCATTTAATCTAAGTAATCCATCATGATATAGAGCAACACCAAAACACTGCTTTGTAATTAAGTGTCAACTAGTTATATGTCTACTTTAAAAGATTTGTGTGGAGTTGGTGGAATGGTAGTAAATATTTATGTCATTGTGTGGCTTATTTTATTCTCTGGTTTTAATGATTGTGATTGAGACTTAGAAATGCTGTAGCCAGATTTATAGTCTATTAAAAACATTAGATCAGACTGGTAACTTGATCTGCAAAGCCTTCTCTTTTTTCACATCATTACAGCAGTGGGGTTTTAGCTGTTTGTGTAAAATAGTATGAGATATTGATCCTCCACTTAGCCATTGGTTAGTACCATTGTCTACATTCTTTCTTCTCTTAATGTTTATAATAAAAAAAACATTCATTTTGGATATTTTCATTTACTAAAGCTGAATTAGAAAATGTTTGATAAATCCTGTAGTTGTGCATGTTTCTTGAGGTTTCTTTTGAGAGGAAATATTTATTTTTAAATCTTTACCAAATTAATCTATTTTTATGGGGAAATGGTTCAGAGGCTAATATTTTATTGCCTATACATGTGTATGTGTGTGTATTGGCCACAATTCAGAAAAGCACTTAAATATATGCTTAAGACCCATTGATTTAAAAAGAGAAATGCAAAAAGTGAAAGTTAACATGTGCTTAAGTGCTTTCATGAATAAAGATGCTTTCAGGAACGGTGGCCAAGGAGCATGTAAAACCTGAAAATGATAGACAAAATAACAAATATGACATTTAATAATATATTCTCCAGGTCACACAGCTGTACTTCCAGGTGAATTCATGCCTATAATCTATTAGAATGCTGTCACAAGATAATGGTATCCTGACACTACTTCAAATGGTATAGGCAACTCACAATATTAAAACTGATTTTTCCATCGAAGTTCTACTTTTCAAAATCAAAGATACATATTGTGGGACAACATGCATCACTGCAAAAGATTGATGTTCAGCATTTCATGCAGCGAAAGTTACCCATTAGGCAATTTTGTAGAGCATCATTTGGCTTGCCATAGATTAAAGAATAAAGTTGTTTGTTATCTACTGAAGAACAGATTTAAAAAAATCTTTACCTTTAGAGAGAACACATGTATTTAACTTTTCACTGTCAGAATCATATTTCTCCCAAAATGTTTTTGCTATCCTTAATAATTACAGTAAAGATCGGTCTTCCAGCAAACTGATTAATGCCTATCTTGTGTATAGTTTTACATGAACTGTGAATATAAGTATCTATTTTATATGATATAAAGTTCTTCTCTGACATACTTTTTCCTGACAATTCACAGGCAAAGGAGTTTCTTAATGAAATAAGTATGCATGTTAATATACATATTTGATAAAGTATCTAATAGTTATCTAAAGAGAAGGAATTCATCAGTTTCTATGATGATGATGCATGAGATATATTCTTAATGTGAATGTGTTATAGAATCTTGAAAACTGTGCTTCAAATATCTTAGGGGATGTTCATTTGCTTTCAGTGGAAGAATACTGTCAACTTGAAAAATAATAATTCATCTTAAAATGCACCATTTACTGAGTTACAATATGAGGTGAAAGTACTTTTTTTCTGTGTGTATATATTGATGCTGATATTAGTTTTATTTCTTTGCTGTTTTGTCCTGTGAGGAATCCATCTCAAGTGTTCTTCAAGGGCACTTCAAGAGAGCACTTATAACCACAGTAACAGCAAAGCGTCTGTGTGCATAGAAGAAAAAAAAGGAGCATATTTATTGTCTTGGTCTTGGGGGTGGGAGGGGGGGCAACCAAAGTTCCTTCATAAACACAGCAAAAGAGTAGGTACCTACTTAGTATTTTGTAAAAGAATATATGCTACATTCTATTTAAAGGAGGTCTGTCAGAAAACTGGTGGTCCCCTCTTTCTCTCCTCACTGCTGTCCCCACAAAAAATTCAACTTGGCATGGTGAATTAATGGATTTCATGAGCACACTTCACAGGACTTAATGTGTATCTGTACAGGATTTTCATGTCATATAGCCAGCAGGAA